TTGTGTAGGTGACAATCTCACAGTAGTTGTCATATGTAAAAACAAAGTTCTATTGTTCTTTTTCTAGGTGCAAAGAAGAACAACAAAAAAGTTAAGGGAACTACCAATAGCATTTAGACTTATATACCACTTCTCAGTGCCTTACAGCCCTCTCTAAGCAGAGTCAGCATATTGCCCCCAACAATCTGGGTCCTTGGAAGAATGGAAGGCTGAGTCAATCTTGAGCCTAGTGAGATTCGAACTGCCAAACTCCTGGCAGCCGGCAGTCAGCAGAAGGAACCTGCAGTACTGCTTTCTAACCACTGTGCCATCTCGGCTCTTAACTGCACGATGGCCCCAAAAGCTAAAAACTGAACTACCAGCCGATCCATGGTACAGGGACAAGAAAGGGGTTGCTGACCCTCAGGGATGGACTAGCCTGAAAGCTTTATGCAGTGGTTTCTATTTTTTTTTACTACCAGTTCTGTGGGCGTGACTTGTTTTGTGGGTGTGGTTTAATGGTCATGTGACAATTCTTTAGGATTTAGGAGAGGTACTGGTCTACCAGGCTTTTAACTGCTTGCAGAGCTGTACCAGTCTACCCATTTGTTCTTGGAGCGTCCTGGTCTACCACCACACTGCCTTTTAACACCGATCAGCTGTAGGGCGGCCCTTTGAAGCACCGCGGCAAGAGTTTAAACAGTTTTTTTCCTTCTAGCCAATCAGCTGGGACTCAGGAGGCAGCGAATAGATTGGGGGCGGGGCCAAATAAAAGGTAGGAATAATGCGGGCAGGGCGGAAAAGCTCAGCTCCCGAACAAAGAGAACCGGTTCAGTGACATCATATCATCACCGCTACCAGCTTGGCTGAACTGGGCCGAACCGGGAGGAACCCACCACTGGCTTTATGTCTCCAGAAGTCTGCACCTCCAGGTGCTTCAGAGGAGCCACGACAACAAGCAGGGCAGGACATTTTGGCTTCCTGAAAACCTTACACCTGGCGAGGAGGCAGTTCTGGTGGCCGAAGACGAAAAGAGACATGGAGGGCTATGTCAAAAGCTGTGCAACCTGTGTTGCAATGAAGAAACAGCCAGGGGAACCCCCCCCCCGGGCTGCTCCAACCAGTTGCTCTGACCCAGCCTCCACGAGCCCCACTCAACAGCCTACTTGTGAGGAGAAACCCCTTTTTATTTAGAAAGTCAGGAATACACGGCATTCATTGAAAAAACTCCAAGTCACAGATCCGTAGGTGATTCACAAGCCGTAACAGTCTCTGAGTTCCCTGCAGGGAGCCTCAATTGGCACTTCAATCCAGGGGTAAAAATCTAAAAATTTTCCCTATTGGTTCTGTGGGTGTGGCTTAATTGGTGGGCATGGCTTGGTGGTCAGGTGACTGAGTGGGCATGGCTTGGTGGTCAGGTGACCAAGTGGGTGTGGCCAATAATAATAAATAATAAAAATAATAAACAAAGTACGCAAAACAATAAGAGGTACCAAAACCCAACTTTTACACTTTACACACACACACAAAACAAAACAACACAACTGATTCACACACAATGTAAAAGCAGCCGCACTTCACCCAAAATGGCCCCTGCAAAAAGCAGGAACCTCACACAGCCACAAAAAGCTCAAAAATCAACATTCACACTTTTCCCACACAAAATGCCACATACAGCTTTGTGAGATTTTGTGTGTTTGTGTAGTTAGAGTGAAACATTACAGAAACAGACCAAATCTCAGAAAGCTGCACAAATATTTTATTTTATTTATATTTTTAGATAAAAACAGCTAAATTTAAAACTTCCTTAACTTTAAATTGCTATGTCTAAAAAAAAAAAAAAAAAACTCCTTAAAAAATCCCCAATTAATTTTTTTTAAAGCTCCTCCCCCCCAAAAAAAATCCAGTTACCCAATTGAAGGTACAAGGCAGGCAGATTGAATTGCTCACTGATTGGATTGATTGCAGGCAGGCAGATTCAGCTGCTAGCTGATGCAATGGATTGCGGCAGCAGAAGCAAAGCAGGAAAAGCGAGCGAGCTTGAAAGAAGCAGCAAGTGGCCAAGCAGGCAAGTGGGCAACTGGGCGATTGGGTGGGCATGGGTGGGGGTGGGGCAGGGATTTTTGCTACTGGTTCTCCGAACAACCTGCCTCCATCGCTAACGGATCGGCCGATCTGGTCCAAAGCATTTCACCCCTGCTTCAATCCCAACACAAAGAGTCCTGACCAACCTGGATAGTGACAAGGAAATCCTGGCAAGGAATCCACTGGAGGGAACTCATCTGGGGCATGAACGGTTGTCTCCAACAACCACGCCTCCCACACCCCTCCTCCTTATATCCCAGCCAGGGAGGGGCTTGTTAACATCTCTTTTTCCTGGATAGCTGGCCCTCAGTCCTGCGTTGCTCTCCTCTCTGCACTTCTCTGTACATACGGGCATCTGGGACAGGCCCCAGCTGTTCCTCCCCCTCACTCAGCTCAGGCCCCAAAAACAGCTCCGCTTGAGCGTGAGTAGATGGGTCCTGCTCTGCATCTGGCTCTGAGACCTCCTGCTCCTCAGAGACTTCTGCAGGCCCCGATGGTAACCCAGGCACCCCCTCCATCTCCTCAACACAACATCAGTGGCTGATCTGTCCTGGCTGTGGGAAGAAATTGCCATGGACTTTATAGTAGAGCTCCCAGAGAGTGGGTGAAAAATGGTCATTTGAACCATGATTGACCTCTTCTCAAAGCAACCCCACTTTATAATCCTTTATAAAAGGACTAACCTTTTCTGGATGGAGTGTCCAAAGCCTGTGTGCGGGCAAACACGTGCATACCCAACCCCCTAAAATGCAATATGCACTTGCCCCTGTGCATGCATGCATGACTCCTCCGCAAGTACACCCGCGCAAGCATGTGCAACCCACTACACATGCCCCCCACACATGGGCGGCAGAGACCCGATGACCAGCTGGCTGGCAGGAGGTGCGTGTGCATTCACGGCAGAGCTGAACTGGGGTGACGGCTTGTGTACCCACAGAGAGGGTGCTGTGTGCCACCTGTGGCACATGTGCCATAGATTCACCATCATGGTTATAGCCTGTTCCAGTCTCCCATCAGCCCATAAACTAGCCAAACTATTCGTCAAGCACATTTACAGCCAACATGGTGTACCCTGGAGGATCATCTCTGACCAAGGGGCTCCAATTCATGGCTAAGTTCCGGAGGGAGTTTATAAAGTCCATTGGGTCCTCACAGGGGCTTAGTTCTGCATTTCATCCGAGTACGAACAGAGCCTCAGAATGCACGAACTCAATGGTTGAACAATATTTAAGATGCTACCAAAATTATCAACAAACTCAACTGGGCAGACTTGCCGCCCTTTGCTGAGGTGGCATACACTAACGCAGTGCACAGTAGCACCGGACTAACCCCTTTCCAAATCACCAGTGGCATGGAGTTCGTCCCCATGCCTGAACTCCTTAGGGAGCCACCCTCCTCCATGACCTCAAAGGAATGGATGGAGTCACTGAAGAAAGCGTAGGAGAACACCAAAAGAGCCCTTCAGGAAGCGGCAAAGACCCATAAAGTGCAAGCTGATAAGCATCGAAACCCCCCCTCCCCCCAAAGCCCTTCCAAACAGGGAGCAAGGTTTACCTCTCGACTAAGTACTTGAGGCTGAAACTCCCCTGCAAAAAGTTAGGGCCAAACTTCATAGGACCTTTCCCAATTGTGGAGGTTATTAACCTTGTCACGGTGGACCTGAAGCTTCCCCGCCTGCTAGGAAAAGTGCATCCGGTCTTCCACAGCAGCTTGTTAAAGCCTGCAATAGACTCTCAACTGGGGCCAATCGATCGGGCAGCCCCAAACCCGACCGTAGTGCAAGGGGAGATGCATTGCAAAATAAAAAGAATCCTAGATTCCAGACTGTATAAGAGAAGTCTACAGGGCCGAGTGCAATGGAAGGGATACCCAATATCCAAGGCTACATGGATAAAGAGGCAGATAGATTAATTAGGCAATTTCACGATAAATATCCTCATAAACCAACAGCATCTCTGGGAGAGGATGGAGAGATGGTTGATTGAACACTAATTGACTTCCATTTGTATCTTCCAGGAACTTTTCTCAAGTTAAGGGGGAATGTCTGACTGTCAACTCTGAAGCGAACCTGGCTGAAGTCATCTTTTGCTGCCTCATAGTTGCCACAAGTCCTGAGACGGGGAAGGGAGAGGGAAAGTAGATAGACCTGCTTGGCCTTCGAAACAAAAAGTTTTCCTTTTGTGGGAACCAAGGTCGTCTGAGCAGGTGGCTGTGGGAGGAAGAGAGGAGTGACCAAGCATCCTGCCAGCATCTCTATTGGACCATGTGACCGATGACATTGGGGAGGGGGAACTTTTACTTTTCAATTAGGTGAAAACTGTGTAAATTTCCAGAGTTAGTTTTCACCAATATGCTGTATCCAATAAAAATGTTCTTTGAGGAATCTACCTGCCTTGGAGTTCTGCTTTCAATGGGTGCATTGCTTGGAACACTGACAGATCAGAAGACCCCCATTGTCCCTTCCAACACAGTTATTCTGTTAAAGACCCAGAGGGTCTATGGGATCCATGGATCCAGCTTTTTGGATCATGCTTTTGTTTCAAGAAGAAAGTTCCAATCAACTACGGCAACTCCCCCTCCCCCATTCAGGCCTGATTCATATTTAGGAAAGTGTCCCATCTGTTGAGTGTCAAATACCCCTTGAGGGTATTTGGGGGCTGAGACCATCTTTCATTCGAAGCCCCCAAAATATATCCCACATCTCCCACCTCCATTGCAGAAACTGCCTCTTGCTCACATCGCACAGGATCCGGGCAGAGCTGTGGGAATTGATTTATCCCAGGGGAGTTGCATTCTGAATCTCTTCCTTCCTAGGGATCAAGAGGCCCTCTCCACACACACACACACACACACACACACACACACACGCACGCACACACACACCACTTCCATTCCTCTTTCTGGGCCGAAAATGGGTGAGAAATGAAACATGGGTGTTCGGTCAAATTTTAGGTTTTATTGTTAGCTTTTTAACATGCTGCATACACAATGTTATTTTAAGTTTTGGAGTCCCTTTGTGGTTGCCAAATTGTCAAGCGAATTGGTTCAGATCCGCTCTTTCTTCCAAGTGGCGAGCAAAAATCAAGACATGGGGCAAGCTTCTTACGGAAAGGAGGTTCTGTATATTTGCCAGGAGGGGAAAAAACAGCTTGCAAAGGTATTTTGCATGTTGCACTTGGTCTCCTTCCTAGGGATGCTCTCTCCCTAGATGGCCAGGTTGTCAGTGGCTTCCTATCCAGGTCAGAAGGAGGCCCCACAGAAGGAAGGGCATCCCCATAGGAGTTAAAAGGCCTGCAGCTCTGAAGACAAAAGAGGGGTGAGGAGTGGAGAAGTTAATGTGGCAGCAAGTAGGTCATCTAGTCCAACCCTCTCCCCAAGCAGGAGACTCTACACCATTTCTGACAGAGGGCAGTTCAGTGTCTTCTTGAAAGCTTCCAGTGATGAAGCTTCCATACCTTCTGAAGGCAACTTATGTTCCATTGGTTGATTGTTCCCACTGTCAGAAAATGTCTCCTTATTTCTAGATTGAATATCTCCTTATGAATTTCCATCCATTATTCCTTGTCTGGATCCCCTCCTCTCTGTGATAGTCCCACAAATATTGGAATATTTGATAAGATCTCCTTTTATTCTCCCATCTAAGTAGTTTTATGAAGATAGTGAAGCATCCTGGACCTAAGACAGAACCTTGTGTTACCCCACTGCTTACTTCCCTCCAATTAGATGTAGTACCATTAAGGACTACTTGTTGAGTACAATTTGTTAGCCAATTACAAATCCATCTGGTGGTGAGAATTGGTCCATCTGGAAGTGTCAAAGCTGGGTTTTTTTCTTTGCTGTTTTTTTTTCCTTTGGGGTTTTCTCTGAAAATGTTTTGCTTTTTATCCAAGGAAACTAAAGAAGCTCCTTGGATGAGAAGCAAAACATTTTCAAGGAAAACACCATGAAAGTCCAGTTGCCTTTTGGAAAAAGAACGCCTAAGGGACAACCGTTCACGAGATGATTGAGAATCTCCACGGACATTCAGTCCACCTGGAACTGACATGGTTCTCCAGCAGCCCCCTGAGAAGCTCCCTCAGACCCCTGAATCCCAGGTTCTCCCTCCTTCCAGCCTCTTACCATTCAGGGCTTCACAGTTGAAGCGGCTGAAAACATTCAGGGACTCCAGCCTGATGAAGATGCCCTTTTGGGTCTTCGTGTAGTTGGTCACAATGAACTTCTCATAGGGTGGGATGAGAACTTCCTTTTCCTCCCTCTTGTATGAGAAGTCATCAATGGGCACTCCGTAACAGGTTTTGATAGAGAAGAAGGTGTCCTCACCAAATTCTTTGGCCGCCGTTTCGTTCTTCGAGGAGGAAGCAAACTGTCCGAAGCGGACTACCGCCTTGTCGGAGGTGTTGAAACAGATCCCATTTATCCCACGGAAGACCTCATAGCAGCTGGACATCTTCTTGGCCTGAAGAGCTTTGGTTAAGAGGAGGTGGAAGTCCCTGAAGGCATATTGGTTGTAAGAGTCTTGGGATTTCCCAGCTTCTCTTGCAGCGGTATTGAAATCATGGTACAAGCTATCTCCGACTGTGTAGGCCACAATCGCAGTACCAAAAATTGGATCGAAGCTGCCGACAGTTTGGCCAAGTTTGGCCCAGTGGTGTTTGGCGGTTTCCCAGGTTTTATTATATTTTTCCAGCAGGGGAATGTTTCCTGAGTTCCTCAGCTGGAGTTCTCTATTGGGGTTGCAGCCAAGGTACTGGTCATCCACAGAATCCTTGGACATGTCGAGGGTAATCTGTCGGCAATGCAACCCCTGTCCGGGAAAAGAGAAGGTGAGGAAGGACACAAGGGAAAGGAAAGAGTCCAACAGCTGATGAAGCCAACCTGACCCCAGTTGTCTTTTTCAACTCCCAAAGGAGGGGAAGGTAAAGGGGTCCCTGTGGATTTTACCCCACAACTCATGTCTGAACTCTTGGGGATGGTGCTCATCTCCGTTTTGGGGCCATTGAACCAGCACTGTCTGAAGACATTATCGTGGTCATGTGGCCAGCATGACATCAGGAAGCGCTGTTACCTTCCCATCTAAGTGGTATCTATTTATCTACTCATCTTTTCATGCTTTTGAACTGCTATGTTGGCAGGAGCTGAGGTAAGTACGGGAGCTCACCCTTGCTGTCAAAGTCCCTCAAGACCTGGTTAAACCACCAGGCACGGAGGTCCCAGGGAACACCACATTCTCAGATAATTCTACAGCAGTGAATATTTTTTACTGTCTCCATGTTTTCTGAATATTTTAATATATTTATAATATTTCCTTTCAAAATGTTTTTTTTTTCCCATATTTTTATAATGATTGTTTTTAATGTGCCTGTAGTTTTAATAAAATAATAGGGTCTGAAGGGACCTTGGTGGTCATCTAGACCAACCCCATGTCCGTGGCAGGAGATCCTATACCCGTGATGGCGAACCTATGGCACATGTGCCACAGGTGACACCTGGAGCCATATCGATGGGCACGCGAGCGTTGCCCTAGCTCAGCTCTGGCACAAATTCCAGGTTGCTTCTCTTCTTGATGAGTTTCCATTCATTGTCTCTTATCCAGCCTTTTGCTGCTTGGGAAAATAAGTTGACCCCCTTTTCTTTGGGGCAGCCCCTCAAATATTGGAAAACTGCCATTATGTTGCCCCTAATAATTCTTTTCATCAGTGGTGAAATCTGAACCAGTTTTTTTTTTTAAAAAATTTTTTTGATTTATATGCCGCCCTCCTCTGGAGACTCAGGGCGGCTTACAGTGCATTAAGCAATAGTCTTCCTGTATGTACCTGCTTAGTAGGGCCTTTGCTCCCCCCCCAAGCGGTGTTCTATTTTATACAAAGTCAGCTTATTGCCCCCACAATCTGGGTCCTCATTTTACCTACCTTAGAAAGGATGGAAGGCTGAGTCAACCTTGAGCCTGGTGAGATTTGAACTTGCAGTAATTGCAGGCAGCTGATGTTAATAACAGTGCTTTAGTCTGCTGCGCCACCAGGGCTCTTGCTACTGGTTTGCTACTGGTTTGCTGGCTGCACATGCGCATGCACACCAAATGTGCGCTGCATGAGCATGTGCAGTACGCACCAAACGTGCACTGCGCATTTAAAAAGCTACCGGTTTGGGCAAACTGGTAATTAGCTTCCAGTTCAGTTGAACTGGTAGTTTAAAAAAAGCTATGATATGACGATCAGCTGTGCCGTGCAGTTTAGCTTTGCCAGAAAGAAGGATTTCCTTCTTTCTAGTGAAGCTAAACTGTGTGATACATCTGATCCCTCCCTCACTGTTCTATTTACCTTCCCAAGCCTCCTTTTGGCACATACTATGCATGCTTTTTTTACTACCGGTTCGTCTGAACCGGTAATTTTTATCGCTACTGGTTCATCCAAACCGGAGAGAACCGGTAGCATTTCACCCCTGCTTTTCATTAAACTAGACCTACCCAATTGACTTACAAGACCGCCTTCTGCTACCGAGAGCCTCCCACCGGCCAGTACGCTCCCACAGAGAGGGACTCCTCAGGATGCCGTTGGTCAAACAATGTCGACTGGCGACCCCCAGGGGGAGAGCCTTCTCTGTGGGGGCACCCGCCCTCTGGAATGAATTGCCCCCGGAGATACGGATGATCCCTGACCTACGCACCTTTCACTGTGTGCTCAAGATGTTACTGTTCCAACAAGCTGGGCTGGCCTAAACATTAATTTTAATGGGTTGTTTTAGTTTTTTTTTTTTAATGATATCGGGGCCAAATTATTTAATATGTTTTTAAAATTGCTTTTAATTTTATATATGTGTTTGTTTTATTTCTTGGCTGTGCACTGCCCTGAGTCCTTCGGGAGAAGGGTGGTATAAAAATTAGATTAAATAAATTAAATAAATAAATAAATAAATAAATAAATAAATAAATAAATAAATTCCTGCAACCGTTTTTCATTTGTTTTGCCCTCTAGGCCCCTAATCATCTTTGTTGCTCTTCTCTGTACTCTTTCTGGAGTTTCAACCATTTTTTTAATATAATGTGGTGACCAAAATTGGATGCAATATTTCAAGTGTCTTCTTACCGAGGTGCTATAAAGGGGTAATAACCCTTACTGTGACCTTAAGAGCCAAGGTGGTGCAGTAGTTAGAGTGCAGTACTGCAGGGCTACGTCTGCTGCCTGCCGGCTGCCTGCAATTTGGCCGTTCGAATCTCACTGGCTCAAGGTTGACTCAGCCTTCCATCCTTCCGAGGTGGGTAATATGAGGACCCAGATTGTTGGGGTCAATATGCTCTGTAAACCGCTTAGAAAGGGATGTAAAAGTAGTGTGAAGCAGTGTATAAGTCTAAGTGCTATTGCTATTGCTAACCCTAACTCTTGATTCTATCCCTCTATTAATGCAACCTCATCTCCCTTTGCAAATAAATTCACGGCAAGGGCTATCACGGTCCTAGAGGAGAGATGTGCTGGTGGGGAGGAGAAGGAGGGGGAAAAGACCCCAAGGCAGGTGATCTTGTGACTTCTGTGGCCTAGAGGGACCCTCTCCCTGGTTTTGTGGCCTGTTGGCTGCCGATCCCTCCAGCAGCCGAATCAGAGGAGGAGGAGGAGGCGTGGGAGTCAGGGTCAGCATCAAGGCAACCTGAGGCTCCGATGGGGAGGAGGGAATGGAGGTATCAGAGAGAGAGAGAGGCAGAGCCTGGGCTGTACATCAGCCCTCAGATGGAGAGTCAAAAGCCCTCTGGTCTGGAGGTGGCTGATGAGGAAGAGGAGGAACAGCTGGGTCCCGTGCCTGATGTGCTGATGCACAGAAGGCAGAGGAGAGGAGAGCGGTGGAAATCTATGGGCCGGTCCTTGGGACGGAAGAGTCACCACTGCTAGTGAAGCCCCTCTCTAGCTCTGGGGATCAAAGGCAGGGGGCGGAGAGGAATAGCTGTGGCAGACAACGATTCTTCTCCCTGCCAGATGGACTTGTTAGCCTGCGGTGAGAGGGAAAATCTGCTGGGGCTGCTGGTGCTTCTAATAAAGGGATCATTGATTGAACTGCAGAGGTTTGTCTTGTCTGGGGAGCTGAGTCTGAACACCTGGCCAAGTTTAGCTGCCCCACGTGGGAGCTTTTCTTCTTCACCCTCTCTCCTTTTTTAGACACAACCAAGATCTTAACAGCAGGAAGTGGCTTTTTTCTCAAGTGGGGGTGGGTGGGAACAGACTACTGCCTGCCTGCCTGCCTGGAAACCCCTCCCCACTTAAAGAGGCAGACACCTGCTTGGTTTGCATCAGCACAAGTCCTACGACCAATGCGATCACACACAACGCTGCGACAATCGCCAGGATGATGGCCTTCTTCATGGTGACTCCTGAGAAAAGAAAAACAAGAAGAAACTACAGTTGGGTGTGAAACCCCATCCGGGATCTTAGTAAAATATGGATCAGTTCAAGTCCTGCCAATAAAGGAGAATCTTTGTAGCTCAGGGTTGAAATGAGGGGGTCCGTGGGGGCTCTCTGAGCTGGGTGGGGTTTTTTGGGGAGACTTTTCATGACCCAACTAGGAAAGCTCATCAGTGCTAGAAGGGAGGGGGATTTGTGGGGAGGAGGAAGAGGAAGAGGAGGAAGAGGAGGGGGAGGGGGAGGAAGAGGGGGATTCTGGGGTCCTTGGTGCTCTCTGAGCTGGGTGTTTTTCTTGGAGACATTTCACAATTGAACTAGGGAACAACATCAGGGATAGAAGGAATTTGTGTTGGCAGGAAAGGAGGAGGAAGATGACTGGGGGGAGTGGAGTCTGTGGATTCTTCTGAGCTGGGTGGGTTTTTTTGGGAGACTTTTCATGACCCAACTAGGAAAGCTCATCAGTGCTAGAAGGGAGGGGGAGTTATCCCACACTTTCAATCCTGAGCCCCAAAGATGATGCAGGGTGACCGTCTGTAGAAATGAATTTGGTGGGCATCCATGTTGAATTACTTTAAGCCAGAACAACCATTCAACCACAGGGGTGGGGAGGAGGGGGAAGAGGGCAGGGCCCAAATCCAGCTGAAGCTCCTCTGGCTGCCCCTCTTAAAAGCTCCTGAGAAACCAAAGCGGTCCTTGCGATTCTGCGTCAGGGAAGGAAACGTCTGTCCTTCCCCAGAGAACGAAGCCCAGCCCAGCCCAGTGGAGGGAAGGTGAAAGCTTTAAGCTGGGTGTTTGTGGGTTAAGCTTCATGGGCCTGAGGTACAGCTTTGTGGCCCCGAATCGACCGATGTGAATATTTGCCGTTTATATGTTTGTTTCCTTTTCCCGTGGGCTGCTTCCTCCTGCTAATATCTGTACGTCGCTTGTGTGACCATGAAACTCCAACCCTGCCTCTAAACTTCTGAGCCATGTCAGCAATGCTCTCCGTGCCATCTTCATGTGCTGCATTAAATATTGGTTAAATACAATCATGGCTGGAGATTTCTAAGACGTTTCCAGGAAGAAGAAGAAGGAAAAAAAAAGGGAGGGGGGGAAATATATCGGCTCAAAATAAGTTGCTCCTCTGGCAAACATGTAAATAAAATCAAAGGGAAGATTAGCCTGAAAATTAATTGAAAGTGATTGTTTCAGACATGAAGAGAAGATGGCATTTCCCCAGGCTCACTCTCCGCTGAAGGAGCCCCATGGAGGGGAGCAGAATTAAAGAATTACAGAATAACCAAATTGGAAGGGACCTTGGAGGTCTTCTAGACCAACCCCCTGCAGGAAACACCCATACCATTCCGGACAAATGGCTGTCCAGTCTCTTCTGAAAAACCTCCACATCTTCTAGTGGCAAGCAGTTCCACTGATGAACTGTCCTCCCTGTTAGGATATTCCTCCTTAGTTCTAGGTTGCTTCTCTCCTTGATGAATTTCCATCCATCGCTTCTCATCCTGTCCTCAGGAGACGCGTTCATATAAGCCCCAAATTCCCACCAAAGTCTCTCTCTGCTTCTTATCCCTTTGTGAGTTTTGTCATCTGCGTCGTGAACAAAAAGGAGGGGGCCATTTTCCCGATTTTATTGATGACTTTGTTCAATTTCTACAGCCCCCATCTCGCCTAAGCAGCTCCGGGCAGTTTGCAATCACGTCATAAAACAACAGAAACAGCCGAATCAAAGCATAGATATATATAAAACAGAGTTCACACGGACATTTCTCCTTTGCGTTCCACCCCACCCCACCCAGGTCTCCGACTTACGAGGTGGGGATGATCTTGACTTGAACTTGTGTGAGTCCCTTGAGCTCTGCACGATTGTGGTCACTTACCACAAAGTGTTTGCTAAGAGTTGCTTCGGTGGCCCCTCCCTGAGTGAGTGGCTGCCAATGATTGAGGAGCACCTTGGAGGGGGTCATTGGGGCGGGGATGTTCACCGTCCAAGAAGAAAAATGACAGGGGGCAGAAGGAGGATGGAGGAAGCAAGCAATTCTGTGGGACCTCTCCAAGCCTGGTGGAAAACCCCTGGGCTGGGGGAGGAAGGGACCCCACCTTTCAAATCAAGCAGGAAGAAAAATATAGAGAGGATGTATAGAAAACCACAGTGGATTTTTTTTAAAATTCACTCGTTCACTGTGAAAAAAGGAAAGGAAGCTCTTAAATACAAATCAAAAGTTAAGACGTGCTCTGAAGACGCAACACTCAGTCATCTCCACGAGGCCCATTATGTTCACCATTCGTTTCTCCATTGTGGATAAAGTCACATCTTACACACGCAGCCTGCATGTAATAATCTCGCTGCAGTTGTCATTTGTGAAAACAAAGTGCCGTAATTTTTTCCTAGGTGCAGAGAACAATGACAAAGAGGATAGGAGGTCTGGAGGTTAAACTGCACAATGGACACTTAAGGGAACTAGGCAGCGATGAAATCTGGCTGGATCCATCTGGTTTGCACGAACCGGTAGTGCTGGTGGCTGGAGGCTCCGCCCATGCACCGGGATGTCATTACGTCCCATCTTTTGCCCTCTGTGCATGCGCTCCCGTTCCTGAACCGGTAGCGAAGGTAAGTGGATTTTACTGCTGGAACTAGGTATACCTAGGTGGACAAACAGAAGCTGTAACAGAATAAAGAGAATAACAGAGTAACAGGACAACAGAATAGTTGGAAGGAATCTTGGAGGTCTTCTAGTCCAACCACTGCTCAAGTAAGAGACCATCTACCATCCTGGAAAAATGGCTAACTAAGGGGTCTTCCAGTCACTGTGAGGCTATCTTAGGGGGAGGTGGTCAACTTTTTCTCCAAAGCATCAGAAGGCAGGAGAAGAAACAATGGATGGAAACTAATGAAGGAGAGAACCAACCTGGAACTAAGGAGAAATTTCCTGACAGTGGAATGACTTTGCCTCCAGAAGTGGCGGATGCTCCATCATTAGATGTTTTCAAGAAGAGACTGGACAGCCATTTGTCCAGAATGGCATGGGGTCTCCTGCTTGATCAGGGGGTTGGACTAGAAGACCTCCATTGTCCCTTCCAATGCTGTTATTCTGTTAAAGACCCTGGGGGGGGATGGGAGCCAGGACCCAGATTTACGGTCTTGCTTTTGTTTCAGGAAGAAACTTCCAGTCAACAATGGCAACCCCCCCACCCCCATTCAGATGTGATTCATATTTAGGAGGGTGTCCAATCTTTCATTTGAAGCCTCCCCCCCAACACACACACACACACACACACACACACACACACACACACACACACACACTTCCATTGCAGAAACTCCCTCTTACTCACACAGAGGCTGGGCAGAGCTGTGGGAATGGATTCATCCTGGGAGAGTTGCATTCTGAATCTCTTCCTTCGTAGGGATCAAGAGAACCTCTCTAGACACACACACACACACACACACACACACACACACACACACACACACACACCCCTCTCTTCCATTCCTCTTTCTGGGCTGAAGATGGGTGGGAAATCAAACATGGGTGTTTAAGCCTTTATAATTAGCTTTTTAGCATGGCGCCTACGCTGCCTTTTTAATCTTTGGAGTCCCTTTGTGGTTGCCAAATTGTTAAGCAAATCGGTTTGGATCTGTTCTTTCTTCCAAGCTGGGAGAGAAGCGATGAGTGAAAATCAAGACGTGAGGCAAACTTCTTATGGAAAGGAGGTTCCGTTTATTTCCCAATAACAGCAACAAGGGTGTTTTTGGGAGCAGCTAGCAAATTGGGTTTGTTGGTGAGTGAATTTTTATATGTTTCTGAGTTCTTTGTTATGAATATGTGTTCTTTCCGTGTCCTTTGGGCTGGAGACAATATTCTAATTGCCTTTATAGGTTTTCTTTTTGTGTGTATGATGTTATGGCTAATCCTTGGGACTAAGGTAAATATAATTGTTTTTGTTTTTCTAATTTGGCCCTAGCCTGCCTAATCAGTTTCAGTCCTTTATCTAGTCGGTCCATCTTTTCGGAGATTGTTGTCAGCCTCTATGATGCTGGCTTGCCATAGTAATGTGGGGGGAGGGGAGAAGGTTGGCATTTGGATGGGGGATTGTGAGCTGGAGAGAGATGCCCTATGTGAACAAACAGGGAGGATTGCTCCTCTATTCTACTGCTCAGCTGTATGAACTTATTTATGCCCAGTCAAGGTCCACGTCTCGGAATACCAGATGGACAAAAACAGCTGAAGATGCTGCCCACATGACACCAATTGGGATGGGGATTGCACATTTACCCTGGGTCCTTGGGGGAGGGATTTTGGGATTTCTTTCAATATATAACTTTTGCTTGAGGTCTTGTTTTTCTTTCATTGCTACCAGTTCAAATTCAGTAAAAGTACCTTTCTCTACAAACATGGAGTTGGGGTTTTCCTTTCTTGAGTTTTGAACGGAGGCACGCCTGACAATTGCTTTGTTATGCAATATTTTCTGAATACAAGTTTTTTGAATGGGTGACATTGCACCTGTTGAATGAAACATAGTTTCCTGCCTATTCTTGAGGGAATTATCTTTTCTTCTCTTTTGGGAGATCATCCTTAGGGAAATATGTTATTCTGGGGAGGGGTCCTCTTTACACTATTTTTTTCCCCTTTGGGTCAGAGCCATTTACTTCAGTAGGACAAAACTAGCCTTTTCATCAACCAAACAATAGGGCTGCCTTCCGAACTCCCTGATTAAGGCGGCAAAGCATCTAGAAAGAAGCAAAGCTGAGTGGAAAGGAGCAGGTGTAATTTATGATGGGGGGGATATGTCTTTTCTCCCAATAACAAAAAAAAAAAAAAAGAAGCTTTCATTTCAACTCAGAGACTTTTTTTTTTTGCTTGATTTCTTGATAACTGATACAACCACCCTACCTATACACAATCCCTGATCTCAGCACCTTAGAGAAAGACTTCACCTTCTCTGAATAAACGTCTTTTTTGAATTGCCTGAAATTCTTGTGCTTTGTATTGTCAGGCAGGGGGGCAGAGCCACATTGCAAAGGTATTTTGCATGTCACACTCGGTCTCCTCCCCCTGGGAGACCCTCTGTCCTTAGATGACCATGTCGTCAGGAGTGTCCGTTTTGGAAGCCATTTTTCCTTTCTAGCTTCCTAACTGCCACATGTCTGAGCCTGGGAAATCAGGATGGTTTTTTTTTGTTGTTGTTGTTTTTTTTGGGAGCAGTGGACGATTAGCTGTAACAACATTCCTTACTCTGGGAGTCAAGGGCATTTGCCTGCACCTGGATGGGAGTGACTGGGGATTGTCTCCAGTTGAGTCTGAAGAGTTGATTGGACCATGTGATGAACTTGTGGGTGTGGGGCAGAGTTGCGGACTTTCAGCTGGGTGGGGAAAACCTGGAAGCTTTCAGATTCAGATTTTCCCAGATGTGCCAACATGACATCTCTAATAATAATAATGCCTGAAAGGTGGCTGAGATTGCTGTGTTCCCCACCTACCCCCCCCACCCCAAGGCAGCCCTTTGGCTGAGTGCAGCAAGCCTGCAGCGGATCTTCCTTCCCCGCCGTCAGCCTTACTTTCCAGCCCATGGCGCTCGCACCATTCTTACAGCGGTGGGCAGGAGAGGGAGGGACAGCTGACAGAGGGGTGATGCAGGAGGTGTAGCCCCCCCACCCCCTGCCCACTGGCAGGTGAGGCCAGCAACTGTGGAGAATCTGGGTGGCGTTCGAAATGTGGGCTGGTGGGGAGCCGAGTGGTGACAGCTCACCCCTGGCTTGCCTTCCCCTCTGCCACCAGTCACGGGAGGAAGGTAAGGTCACGGCTGCATCCAGCCAGGAAAACCAAACTGCTGCCCAGCCCGGAGCTGCTGGTGGGGGTGGGCAAGGCTGCAGCAGATGCCTCACTTGAAGTTCCCAGCCCTTTGTTTGAAAATCTCCCCAAAAGTGGGAGGGGAGGAAGTCCTGACCCCAGCCCCTTTGTTGGACCCAGAAGCCTTCCCTGGCGGCCTTTCCAGGCAACATGGGGCCGGGCACAATGGTCCCTCCACGCCTGGTCCCCGGGAGACTGGCCAAGAGCACCTGGCAGGCTCTGGCTAGGCAGGCTGGCTGGCTCGCGAGGCGGTGGTGGGCGCCAGACAGGTGCTGGGATCGCTGCTCGGAATGAAGCCGTGCCTCAATACAGTAGGCTGCCCTCGCCCAGGTGGCTCCAAAATTAAATACTTCCTTTTCTTTCTTTTTTTTTAAATAATATTTATTAAATTTCCAAAGATTAAAATACACAGTCCAAACATGATACACAAAAAAGCAAGAAACACACACACACACAGTCGCGAAACAAAAAAATATAAACAACCAAAAACAAACAGAAGTTGTTATTAGTATTGAAATTTTGATAGGTTTGTTTCAATGCTTCCTTTTCTTGCAAGTACGTACAAACGTCAATAAAGGGAGAAATGATGGGTGAAGGAGAAGGGAAATTCTGTAAGCAGAAAAACTGAGAATGAAAACAAAATCTTTCAGTGAAATTAGAAGTGGTTCTTTGTGAAGGATCTGTGAAAGTTTTGGAATATTGCAATAGGGCCCATGGGAAAAAAAATAAAGCAGAAAGATTTAATTAAAGGAGAAGAGAAAGAATGGTAAGACATCCACTAACTGACTGCTTTGAAAATGCCTTTCAAATGTGTTTTCAGTTACAATGGATTGGAAATATTTGCTTGACTATATGCTTTAATGTTCAAAAAGAATAATCTTGATCAGTATAGGCAGAGATGTATTCTTCAAGCGTTAGTGCATTTTGCAAAAATCATTATGAATGCCACTGTAGAACATCATTTCTCACCAAAAATGCAACTGAATGGAAAGTAAAGTAAGATTTTACACTTAGGCAAGAAAAAAAAACCACAAAACCACAAAAACACAAAAAAACACCAAGTGCACAGGTATAGAATAGGTGGCGCCTGGCTCAACTGGAAGTAACTGGAAGTGAGACGGATCTGTGAGATGGAAACTTGTCAAACGGATCCAGCCAAGGAATTTCCTGACAGTGAGAACAATTAATCAGAGGAATGGGATGCCTTCAGAAGTTGTGGGTATTCCATCACTGGAGGTTTTTAAGAGGAAATTTGTCCATAATAGTCTAGGGCAGAGGTCTTTAAACTTGGTAGGAGCTGGCTGGAGAATTCTGGGAATTGAAGTCCACAAGTCTTAAAGCCGCCAAGTTTGAGGACCTCTGGTTTAGGGTCTCATGCTTGAGCAGGGGTTGGACTAGAAAACCTCCAAGGTCCCTCCCAACTCTGTTATTCTTTATAAATCTCTCCACCCAGCCTTACCAAGAGAATGATGATAAACAATACTTGAATATGTACATCAGGTCTTCTGAGAGCAAAATCTCATCTAATTGGGTAGCATCAAGGGGAAGATGACTTTGAAAAAGATTCCTCTCTCACCATAACATGCAAGACGAGGTGAGGACTGGCCGGGAGGGGAGGGGAGGGGCGAGGAGAGGCCAGGTGAGGCACCCCTCGCTGTGAGTGACATTGAGTTGGCTACACCCACATGACCACCCAGCCATGCCCACCCAGCAGCCATTAGGGCAGAGAACCAGTTGTTAAATTATTTGAATCCCACCACTGGATACAGTGGTTAGAATGCAATACTGTAGGCTACGTCTGCTGACTGCCGCCTGCCTGCAATTTCGAATCTCACCAGGCTCAAACTTGACTCAGCCTTCCATCCTTCCAAGGTGGGTAAAATGAGGATCCAGATTGTTGGGAGTAATCCTCCCTGGCCTCCAGCAGAACTTTGCCCGACAAAAACAGGCTGCATGCAGGTCCTGCGAGGCCCACCACATGGCCCGTTTTTGGCCTCCATGGCCTCCAGCAGCACTCTTCTGGCCAAAATGGGCTGTGCAGAGGGCCCTCAAGGCCGCCGCAGGGCCTGTGGTTGGCCTCCCCAGCCTACAGCCGTAATCTGCCTGCCAAAACGTGTCAAACACCTAACACGGCCCCAAACCCCCCCCCACACACACACACCCAGCCCTCTGAGGTCAAACACAACCCTGATGCAGCCCTCAATGAAATGGAGTTTGACGCCCCTGGTCTAAATGCTATTGCTAACCCTAAGCCTTGATTCTATCCCTCTGTTAATGCAGCCTCATTTCCCTTTGCAAACAAATTCACGGCAAGGGCCATCACAGCTGTAGAAGAGAGGTAGGTTGGTGGGGAGGAGAAGGAGGGGAAAAAGACCCCAAGGCAGGTGACATTGTAGCTTCCGTGCCCTGGAAGGACCCTCTTCCTTGGCCTTGGCCTAGTTTAGATAGGCTCACAGTGGCCTATGTGGAAGCTTCTCTTCTTCACCATCTCTCCTTCTTTTTAGACACAACCAAGGGCTTCGCATCAGGACATGGCTTTTTGACAAGTGGATGGGGGTGGGGGTGGGGTGGGGAACAGATTGCCGCCTGCCTGTCTGGCAACCCTTCGTCATTTAAAGAGGCGGACTCCGCTGCTGCCGACGTTTCTTGGTTTGTACAAGCACAACTCCTACGACCAATGTGATCACACATAACGCTGCAACAACTGCCACGATGATGGTTAGCATCTTGGTGGTGATGCCTGAGAAAAGACAAACAAGGAGAAACCACAGTTTTGTGTGAAACCCCACCCACAATCTTAATAAAACATTGACTACCCAATGAAGGAGAATCTTTGGAGCTCAGGGTTGATGTGAGGGGTCCTTGTCTGCTCTCTGAGATTGGTGGCTTTTTTGGCAGATGTTTCATGACCCAACTATGGAAGTCCATTAGTGGTAGAAGGGAAGGAGTTTGCAAGGAGGAGCGGGGAGGGGAGGAGGAGGAGGGGGATGGGGAGTAAGAGGCCTATGGGATCCCTGGTGTTGTCTGAGCTGGGTGATTTTCTTGCAGTTGTTTCATGACCCAGGTAGGGAACATCATCAGTGTTAGGAGGGAGGGAGGGAGGGAGGGAGGGAGGGAAGGAAGGAAGGAAGGAAGGAAGGAAGGAAGGAAGGAAGGAAGGAGGAAGAAGAGGAAGAGGAGGAGGACTATGAGATCTTTGCTGTTCTCTGAGCTTGAAGGGGGAGGAGGAGGAGGAGGAAGGACTGTAGGGTCTTGGTGCTCTCTGAGCTTGATGGTTTTCTTGCAGATGTTTCATGACCCAACTAGGTAACGTCATCAGTGAACAACCTCAAGGAGGTCTTGCAGTTTTCTTTGAAAATGTTTTGCTTCACATCCAAGGAAACTGAAGAAGCTTCTTGTCTGAGAAGCAAAATGTGTTCAGAGAAAACACCATGAAAGTCCAGTTGCCTTTTGGAAAAAGAACACTTATGGGACAACCATACATCAGATGATTGAGAATCTCCACGGACATTCAGTCCACCTGGAACTGACATGGTTCTCCAGCAGCCCCCTGAGAAGCTCCCTCAGACCCCTGAATCCCAGGTTCTTCCTCCTTCCAGCCTCTTACCATTCAGAGCTTCACAGTTGAAGCGGCTGAAAACATTCAGGGACTCCAGCCTGATGAAGATGCCCTTTTGGGTCTTCGTGTAGTTGGTCACAATGAACTTCTCATAGGGTGGGATGAGAACTTCCTTTTCCTCCCTCTTGTATGAGAAGTCATCAATGGGCACTCCGTAACAGGTTTTGATAGAGAAGAAGGTGTCCTCACCAAATTCTTTGGCCGCCGTTTCGTTCTTCGAGGAGGAAGCAAACTGTCCGAAGCGGACTACCGCCTTGTCGGAGGTGTTGAAACAGATCCCTTTTATCCCACGGAAGACCTCATAGCAGCTGGACATCTTCTTGGCCTGAAGAGCTTTGGTTAGGAGGAGGTGGAAGTCCCTGAAGGCATATTGGTTGTAAGAGTCTTGGGATTTCCCAGCTTCTCTTGCAGCAGTATTGAAATCACGGTACAGGCTATCTCCGACTGTGTAGGCCACAATCGCAGTACCAAAAATTGGATCGAAGCTGCTGACAGTTTGGCCAAGTTTGGCCCAGTGCTGTTTGGCGGTTTCCCAGGTTTTATTATATTTTTCCAGCAGGGGAATGTTTCCTGAGTTCCTGAGCTGGAGTTCTCTATTGGGGTTGCAGCCAAGGTACTGGTCATCCACAGAGTTGTTGAACATGGTGAGGGGGATCTCTCAGAGAGACACCTGTCCAAGAAAAAGAGAAGGTGAGGAAAGACACAAAGGAAAGGAAAGAGTCCAATGCAGGTGAAGCCAACTTGACCCTAGTTGTCTTTTTCAGCCTCCCAAACATACACAGGGGAAGGAAAAGTAAGGGGGTCCCTGTGGATTTTACTCCACAACTCTAGCAGAACTTGATTGCAGAAAATACGACTTCAATAACAGTCAATGCCTGGAACGCAGTACCTGACTCTGTGGTTTCTTCCCCAAACCCCCAAACCCTTAACCTTAGATTGTCTACTGTTGACCTCCCCTCACTCTTAAGAGGTCTGTCTGGGGTGTGCATAAGCGTACCAGCGTTCCTACCATCCCTGTCCTAAAGTTTTCTTTTATCCATATCCATTTCATGTATTCATAATCATGTTTATACTTATTCCTGTTATCTAATACATGCTTGACAAATAAATAAATAAATAAATAAATAAATAAATAAATAAATAAATAAATAAAAACTCATGTCCGACTCTTGTGAACGGTAATCATCTCCGTTTCAAGGCCGTTGAACCAGCACTGTCCAAAGACATTTCTGTGGTCATGTGGCCAGCATGATGTCAAGGAGCATTGTTACCTTCCTACCAAAGTGATACCTATTTAACTACTCACATTTGTCTGCTTTCAAACTGCTAGTTTGAAAGGAGCTGAGGTGAGGATGGGAACTCACCCCACCATGTGGCACTCGGGTCTTGAACCTGAGTTGCTGGCTTTCCAGCTGAAAAGTCCAGCATCTTAATCAGCTGAGCCCCTTACCATGGGGGATGAATCACACAAAAACTATTATTTTTGATGCCAGCACCCAATAAACTGTCTGCACCATCCTTGAACTCTGATGTTTGCTTCAAGTCCAGGCAGATCTTTACAACAACTATGCCAATTTCCATCCAGTATCTAAGGTGAGTTACATTGGCCACTGATCTGCTTCTCCAAAACTGAGGAATGTGATATATGCAATACAATGCAGCAAGGTATATACTGATCTGTACACTGGAGAAACAAAACAGCCATTTCACAAACGCATGGCACAGTGTGGGAGAGCAAACCCATCAGGAGAATTTTCAGCAGTCCATCTGCTTTTGAAAGATAAAGGCCTGTCAGATCCCTAAAAGTGATACTGCCATTCAATCGGAGGAGGGGGAGACTTGGATTCGATTCACTAGCATTGCCTGTGTCAACAGATATTTTACAACCTATATCCTGGCGACAAAGAGCCCTGATATCCCCTTTACCTGCAGGAATTTTTATGATAGCCATGTGGGTTGTTTCACTTTAAAAGATAATGGTGGGAATGCATGTTTGTTCGGGTGCTCAGAGAAACTAGGAAAGAAAACATCTTCACACTTGTGTGTTGGCTAAAATCTACATTCTGACTTAAAGGGAGGGGTCTCTACCACTTTAATCCTACAGCCTTGCCTAAGGGTACTCAGATCTTGCTTTAACTGGATGGCTGTCACTTCTGCTTAATAAAAGAAATCCTTTTGAACAACCACGTTTCAAGAGTTCTCACTTTCTTGAGTTGGAAGGAGAGGCGATCCTTACAAGGCCATTCTTCTGGACAGGTCTTTTGAAGTCCACATTCTGAACAGAGAAGACTGCTGGTTTGAAAGAGGGGTCAAAGAGGCCACCTACATTAAGATTGAACAGCCTTCCAGGCGGGGCCTTACTAAGGGTTTACAAAACGGAACTAAGACGTCCCGTGATTTTGATTCTCTGCCTCTGTTTATACAAACCCCCTTTGCATAAATACATTCGGAGCAGGAGCCATCCCAGCCCTAGTGGAGGTGTGGCCTGTGGGGGGGGAGGACCCCCCCCAAGGTAGGTGATGTTGTGGCCTCTGTGGCTCTGGAAGAACCCCCCCTCCCTAGCCTCGGCCCAGTTTAGATGACCTCACAATGGCCCATGTGAGAGAGTTTCTTTTTCATCCTCTCTCCTTTTTTAGATCCAGCTGCAATCTTCACAACAGGAAGTGGGTTTTGTGCCAAGCGGAGAGCAGGGTGGGGGGAGTGAAGCCCACGGGGATCCTGCAACCCCCCCCCCATTTAAAGAGGTGGAAAGTCCCATTCCTACCTGCAAAGGTCCCATGAGGATGGCCAATAGACACAAGCCCTGGACCGCATAGATGGTCTTCATGGTGTCTCCTGGGAAAAGAAGAGCACGAGGGAACCACCGTGGCATGGGAAACCCACCCACGGCCTTCAGAAAACATTGAGCAAATTGAAGTCCGACCAATAAACGGGAATCTTTGGAGCTCAGGGTTGGAATGAGGGTGTCCTTGGTGCTCTCTGAGCTTGGGGGTTTTCTTGCAGATGTTTCATGACCAAACTAGGTAGCATCATCAGTGCTAGAAGGGAGGGGGGTTTATGGAGAGGAGGAGGAGGAGGAGGAGGAGGAGGAGGAGGAGGAGGAGGAGGAGGAGGAGGAGGAATACTGTGGAGTTGTGGGTGCTTCATCACTGGAGGTTTTTAAAGAAAAGATTGGACAGCCACTTGTCGGAAATGGTATAAGGTCTCCTGCTTGAGAAGAGGGTTGGACTAGAAGACCTCCAAGGTCCCTTCTAACTCTGCCATTCTGTAATTCCAGAAGGGTGTCCTGCTTCTAATTGCCACAGCTTCTTTAGAAGTTTCCAGGAAAACAAAAAAGAGAAAAAAAGTGACTGACACGCCCAATTCTAGTGACAGTGAACAACAAGAGATTGACAGTTACATACCATGAAAATAAAAGCAAATGGGAATAATGATATAACAGGGTTGGAAGGGACCTTGGAGGTCTTCTAATCCAGCCCCCCTGCTCGAGCAGGAGACCCTGACAGAATCACAGAATGATAGAGTTTGGAAGGGACCTTGGAGGCCTTCTAGTCTAACTCCGTGCTGAAGCAGGAAACCCTAAACCATTTCAGGAGATCTGCCTGAAAATTCGAAGCATTCTTGTCTTACAAACGAAGAGAAGCTGGCGTTTAGCACTGGAGACATGTCTTTTCCTCTGTGGCTCACTTCCCTCTGGAGGAGCCCCATGCAAAGGAGCAGAATGACAGAATTACAGAACAACCGAGTTGGAAGGGACTTCGGAGGTCTTCTAGCCCAGCCCCCTGCTTAAGCAGGAAAGCCTAAAACATCTCAGACAAATGGCTGTCCAATGTCTTCTTGAAAACCTCCAGTGATGAAAAACCCACAACCTCTGGTGGCAAGGTGTTCCACTGGCTCTTTATCCTCCCTTTCAGGAAATTCCCCCTTATTTCTAGCTTGGATTCCTCTTTCTTAAGCTTCCATCCATGATGTCTTGTCTTTCACTCAAGGGCAGCATTCACAAAAGACTCGATGAACCCCAAATTCCAACTGAGGCTGTCTCCGCTTCCTTCCCACTTCTGAGTTTTCACCCCCGTCTCAAACCAAAGGGAGGCTGAGACTTCCTCAATTTTACTCGTGACTCATTTGTTAAATTTCTGCAGCATCCATCCCACCTTACGTGGCCCTGGGCTGTTTGCAACAATGGAATAAAACCCTAGAAGCCCCCCTCCCCCGAAAAAAAGCATAGATTAAAAAAAAAAAACAACAGAGTTGAAATGGATGAGTTTTATGCGTTTCAGCCGAACCCATTCAGGCCCCCAATTTACAATTTGGTGGTGGTGTCGAGTTGAACGATGCGAGGTTCCAAAGGGCTCTGCAGGATTGTGGTCACCTCCTGCGAAGCAGGGCAAAGAAATGTTTGATTTGCCCCTCCCCGGCTGAGTTGGTGCCAAATAGTTGAGGAACCATCTGGGCGATGCCATTGGGGCAGGACGGGCACCACCCAAGAAGAAAATTGATGAGGAGGATAGAACAAGCAAGCTATTCCCATTGGGACCCCTCCCCATGGTCTGAAAATAGAGAGGAAAGGGCTGAGCTGAGGGAAGAAGGGACCACTGAAGTCCCTTCTTCCCTCAGCAGGAAGAATAGAATAGAATAGAATGGAACGGAACGGAACAGAACGGAACAGAGCAGAGCAGAGCAGAGCAGAGCAGAGCAGAGCAGAGCAGAGCAGAACAGAACAGAACAGAACAGAACAGAACAGAACAGAACAGAATAGAATTCTTTATTGGCCAAGTGTGTTGGGACACACAAAGAATTTGTCTTTGGTGCATACGCTCTCCAAGGCACAACACTTAATGATAGTCAAAGGGTACAAATAAGCAATCAGGAAGAGAGAGAGAGGAGATGTATCGAAAGACACAGGGTCATTTCATTTTTTCATTTTTTAAATTTGTCGTTCACTGCGGAAAGAGGAAGTGAAGAAGAAAGCACAGTTGTTTGATGCCAATGAAGAGTCAAGACATCCTCTGAAGATGCAAGACTCAGCCATCTCAGCAAGGCCAACGGAGAAGACAATTGAATCTTCACCCTCCCTTCTTCCCTATTCAGAATAGACGATAGAACCGAGAATCATAGGGTTGGACTAGAAGACCTCTTGAGGTCCCTTCCAGCCCTGTGATTCTGTCTTCCTGAAATCAGAAAGAAACCAAACGGAAGACCACACCTGGAATCCTGCATCCAGTTTTGGTCGCCACATTAGAAAAAAGATGTTGAGGCCTCAATGATATATTACATACCCACCATCTACTAATAAAGTTTCCCTATCAAAAATGTAGTAAAGTAATCTATCTTTACTTTAGGAGAAGAGGAGAGGAGAGGAGAGGAGAGGAGAGGAGAGGAGAGGAGAAGAGTCATAGAGTTGGAAGAGACCTTGGAGGTTTTCTAGTCCGATCCCCCTGCTCTGTACTTGTACCTTTGGTTTTTCCTGCCCAGGTGTATAAACATTGCTTTTCTCCATATTAAATTTCAGATACACTCATTCTATCTGACTCCCTTTTTGTAGTGGAAAGCCACCGAAGTTCTACAAAAGAAAAAGGAACCAGGCTCAGGAAGACTTTTCCTGAAAGAAACGTCGCTTTCTATGCTTCCCCATCGACGGGA